GCCCTGTACGTTGGGCACGAAGTATAGGAAACTTGAATGGTTAAAAAGAAGGGCGCCGCCTACGTTGGGCACGACTTCCGCCTCATTTTGACAATGCGAGAACTCTATCTTGTATTTCTAGTATCTTTGGTCGCGTGCAGTCTTGCGCGTTATGTGACTGTAACCCAGGGTTCCACCCTGGGCCTCGCCACCCACACAACCAGTGTGTAGTCCCGCATTTCAAATCTCTCAGGTGGGTAACTATGCACAACACATATATTTTTACATTTTATATTTATTCTAGGCCACGGTTGATGAAAAGGAAGAGGTTAGTTCAGGAATAGAAGCACTCTCGTTGGAGACTGATTCAACAGCCATCAGTCCATCAGAGCCTAGCTCACCCAAATCAGATACACTCACCAAGGAGGTCAAACAGGAGAGTAGTAAGTAGTATTATTCACCTCACTAGTACTTCCAGCAATTTGCTGAAGGAGGTTCAAACCAAGGGTCTGTCTAAGGTTTCTGGTGAGGGGCTTGAGTAATATGATAACAAGGAGAGACTATGGTTATGGATAGTAAAAAAAAATTATATTAATTGTTATTATAGAATGTATTCTCTTGATTCGTTTGCAATATTTTCACACATTATCCTTCAAAGTAACAATATTTTCATTTCATTTATTTTATTGGCACAAGTGGCTCAGAGTCCTCCATAACACTGCAACCCCTGATAATATTTGTTGATCACACTTCTATTTTCACTACCATCATACTGCAGCAGATTCACATCCATTGCATTACATTCAATTAGGGTAGCAGATTATTGCTCATCCTGTTGTGTTTTTGTATTTGAGATAATTCAATCCTCTTCATCTTTCCTAGTTGTCAGTTCAACAGACTCCGTTTTCCAAGAACAAGAACCTACTATTCCTGGCCATCCAAGCCCTACTCCTCTGCCAAGTGTAGAGATACCCGGAATGCCACTTGACGAAGACAGAAGGGAGAGTCTAGCTAGTTCGGGCAGTGTGTCAAGTACTCGTCGACTCCTTTCCACCCCATCAACTGTCAAGTTTGACCAAACATACGAACATACGCTGGTGTAAGGCCCATTTGCTTCAAGACATGTTGATCACTTATTTCGGCAGGCTCGTCAGTGCTAATATTACCAGAGCTGCCCTGTTCAGTGATTAATAACAATAATCTGTGTAACCATAGTAACAAAGGCTACCATAGTAACCATTTTTCAAGAAATGCAAGAAAATAAATATATTTAAACAATTGTAACAACTATCTAAACTTGACTTATATAGTGTAATTATCAGAGCCGTCCTGTTCAGGGATTCATTAAAATATTACGTGTAACCATAGTAACAATTCATCAAGAAACACAAGAAAATAAATACGTATATCTAAACAATTTTAACAACTATCAAAACTTGACTTATATAGTATATGAATTTCTCACTAATTTTAAAGATGTGTTCACATCCGTAGCAAAAGCCAATAAATGGCAGTAATCACTATTATATGCTGATACTAGTTTCAATTCATTTATTTTTCATCAAAATAGTATGTATATATAAATAATATAATTTGTTTATTTAATCTTCTTGTTTTTTAGCAACACCCAATGAAGGGTGACAATCATGGAAATGATTTTGTTGAATGCATCAATGCAAAATGAAAAAAAAATCTTACAAGATTTTATAGTACAGTAGATCCTCACCATGACAGGATTAAATGAATATAGATTTCCCCTCTTAATTTGTCAGATGACGTAAAAAATAGTTTATGCAAATATTTCAAATTATTTTTTAAACATACTATAGTTTAATATTACCCAAGATTTATTTGCTTTATCGATTGTTTAAAAGTCCATCGGGGAAGGTTATACAGTATACTTAATAATTGATGATGGGGTTTTTTTGAAGCAGAGTTGTAAATATGAATTTTTTGGACAATTATGATTATCTATCTAAATATACTGTGTAAATAATGGATTAAGAGATACTTTCATGACTGGATGCATTCATTTATCGATTATGTGTAAATATTATGGAGATAAAATGTGACTGGATCTGGCAAAATTAGCCGTTTGTAGGAAAAATTCAAAATTGAGTTTTTGGTGTTTTTAGATTTTGCATGAAGTTTTTTTTTTTAAAGTGTTTATTTGATGGAAATTAGTTGAGTATTTTAGCGAAGCTGTGAATATTTAATTCACTGGATATCAGCCATGTTGGTTTTGAGAAAACAGCTTCCAAAGATTCCAAAATAAGATTTGTATTTTAAAAATACTTAATATACTTTTCAGTTACATTTAGTGATTGATATTTTGCAGAAATGTACTTCAGTATATTTTCTTTTATAAAATGCAAAAACAAAAAAAATGTTCAAAATTAATTATAAATTGCAACAAATTGAGGGTTTTGCCAGAGTCTGTCACAAATATTATTTAGCTTTTTTCTGAAGTAAAATCAAGCAGATCATTCTAGATACCATATACCATATTTTGGATCTTTAGACACAACTTACAAAAAAAAAAGTACAGTAGAAACCAAGACATAATGTATAAATAATTTTTGTAATTTGTGTTTGATTCCTTTTGTGAATAAAAGTGATATACTTAAAGAAATGTAAAGTTTTATCGGTATTTATTGAAGGTTTTTTAGGGAAAATTTAATCAGGCTGCAACAACACACAGATAGTTACTGACAGGACTATGTAATCGACACAGATCTATGTTAAAGAAGTTAACCCACAGACTACAATACTTTATAAAGACCTTGATAACTTTGATTGATTGGAAGAATGACCAATACTTTGCTATGACCCCCAGACAAATTAGGATTGTTTAAGAGTGTTTTGTGTGAAGAATTCCTTTCGTACAATTTTATGTGGTAGATTCTATTTAAATAATTAGATTTTGTATACTCATTTTGGCTATTGCTGCGATTACTATAAATTGCGAATAGTCAATGAAACATGTAACATACTAAAACACATAAAAGTAGCTATAGCTGAGAGATTGATGTATAAACTAATTTATTTTTGGGTGGGTCGAGTGAATTAGGCAGGGCAAAAGCTAACTACAGCCTTAACATCAGCACTGGTTCCAGAAAATTTGTTCTGTTAGTAAACCAAGAAAGATAAACTGACTTAAAATGGAAGGTCAGTACAGTACAGTACTTCTGGCTGGAGCACATTTTAAATATCTGAAGCAAAAAAAGTCCAAATAGTTAAAAATCACTGTATTTTGCAACCTAGATCCCCCAACTCCACTTTCACTCTTCCCCCATTTCAAAACTCCTACATAAGCCACTGTGAATAGGGGCCACTCTGATGCTCTGGTTCACTTCAACTCCATTGTTGTGAGATATAAACAAAGCTACTACAAGCACCTATATAAGGGTCAATTGAGACAAGCCAAACTGCTTCTATAACTTGATCCTTATCAATGGAATTATGTTATTAAAATTTAATAATTTTTGTTATGTTCATCTATTGATTGAATAAATGTATATTATTAATTGATTGATACAGCTGCTAGGTAGTCACCGACCATGTCTATGTGCAAGGTAAAGGTAGGAGAATAACCCATAACTCGCAGCATCATTGTGCTGAATTGCGTATTAAGCACAATAACAGAGTTTTGGGTTTTTCTCTTAACACTCTTAGTTTTACTTTTACCGTTTTTATGGTACAGTATAGAAATCAACATCTGTGATACATTTGATCTAATAATTTATTGATATCCTTATCCAAGTACAGTAGTAATCAGTGTACATCTGATAGTTGCAAAGCCTTTCACATTTCCATTAAAATACCCTGGATAGGCTGGACTACCCTGGACAGACTGGACCACCCTGGACAGACTCTCATACGGTACTTTAGATAAACTCCACTAAATGTAACTGCAATTCAACAAAACATGAAGAAGAGCTATATCCACAAAATATCACAGTAGACACGATCTTTGTAAAAGTAAAGTCAGAAGTAATTTCTTAAAAAACACTTTTAAATATCATCAACTGTATTTTTCACATAAAGATTGTCCCTTAACTACTGTTGTTTTGCATCATTTCCCTGCTATCGATGTCTGCCTTTACTTTTTGACTTTTTGTTTGGTCCCCTGTTCGATTTGGGTAAAGCCCTGTTTTGGCCTTTGCCCTTTTTCTTTGACTTCTTTTCTTTCTTTTCTCCTGGGCCTGTTAATTGGTCATCCATGATCTCCCTGTTTACAGCCTAATCATTTGGAAAGAATAAAATTAATTCAGTACTTTATATCATAAATTTATCATCAAATTTAAATCAGAATTCATATGAAAACCACAATCTAAAAAAAATAATTATTATTATCTAATTAAAACAGACTATAAACAAATAACTGATACCTCATAAAATTGGTATATATTTGAAATCATTCATAGAATCAGAAATATTGTACATTTATGAAAAAATATTGCATTCCATTCTACTAATTGCTAAAATGATTGTATTTTGATCCTACGTGGGACAAAGACAGCCTACATTGGATAGGCCTACTGCCTATCCCAGATACACAGGATAATATTATAGACCTACAAGCTACACTAGACAACACAAGGGCTACTCTGAATAGACTGACAGACTACATGGATAAATCCTCAGACTACCTTGAATAGACGTACAGTACTGTCTACCCTGGATATACCTACAGCCTACGCTGGACAGGCTCACTGACTACCCTGGATATTCCTACCCACTGCCTATGCTGGACAGATCTACTGACTACCCTGGACAGATTTACTGACTACCCTGGCTATTCCTACTGCCTATGCTGGACAGACCTATTGACTACACTTGATATACCTACAGCCTAACCTGGACAGACTTAATGACTACCCTGGCTATTCCTACTGCCTATGCTGGACAGACCTACTGACTACCCTGAATACACCTACAGCCTACCCTGGACAGACTTACTGACTACCCTGGCTATTCCTACTGCCTATACTGGACAGACCTACTGACTACCCTGGATATACAGTACCTACAGCCTACAGTGGGCAGATCTACTGACTACCCTGAACTAACATAGACTAACTTGGATAGACCACAGGACACCCCAAGATATACCTAAATACTATCCTATAGTAGATAAACACGGAAATTTTAGGATTTGTACACAAACCTGGTTAACATTAATTTTCCCTTTTTTGTTGAGCGTTTCCAATATCTGTCGCTCTCTATCCTTCTCTGCGTTTAATGCGCCAATCACAGGTTGAAACTTCAAAATCAATAAAAAAAGACATTTAAATAATGAGCATAAACCACCACAATCTCGATGAGTATTTAACAAACCTTTTTCAATCAGGGAAGTGCTTAAATACAAACATTTTATAAAGTAAGCTTGAATGCGATCTGAAGGAAAATTGAGGCTGGTTACATAACGTTGATGAGTCGGGACGATTCTATTATTTTTCGTTGGTAAGTTTCATTAGGAATCTGGCTTAAATCAATTCACTCAGTTAAGTATTCACAAAATAAGACACAAAACGACATTTTTAATAGTAAGATAAACAAAACAAACCAATAGGTGTCCCTACCTTTCTCTTTTTTCCTGTATTTCTCTGAGTTGGTTCTTTAGGCTAAGTGACAAAAGTGGAATCAATATTTAGTGCAAATTACAATTCACTGTGCATAAGTCGAGACTTTTTTATACCTTGTTTTACAAACTTATTTTTTTAAAGATCATCGGAGAAGGGCGGAAAAAAATTAATAAATAACATTTTGCCAAAAACATCCAGACAGAGGAGAAAATAAAAATAAAATTTTATTAGTGAATGTAAACGTGTAGTAATGAGATGCTTAAATGCATTAAATGAATATAATTAGGAAGAAATACACATATCTTATTTTTGAAAATTTCAAGGCAGCGGTGGGCTTAAAAAAAATAAAGAAAAACCTTTTTTTTTTAAATTTTCATTTTTTTATAGTGGCATGTGCGCTAATTGACCAAAAATAAAATTTTATCTTTATTCGAAATTATCGTTATTAGTGGGCAGCGGGTTTGCTTAACAAGGTATAAAAATTCTTGACTAATCTAAATATAAAGTAACAAATAAAGCTATAGTAAAAACATAATCATAATTATTTGTTTGTTTGTTGCTTGTTTATTTACATATTTAGTTATTCCTCATTCTACAGCAAGTGTCTTACAATAAGAAACTTATGAAAAATGAAAGTAATGAATAAGAATTATGATAACAATTTTGAGATTGGAGGGCAGGGTTTGAATTTCCAGACAGCAATTGCTGTAGAAAGGGCCTTCCACTAAATCCCAGAATCGACAGCAAGCTTTTAGCTGTCAAGTTGCTTAACCCAGCTAAACCTAGCAATGGATTTTACCCAACAATAAAAACTGTTGATTGTTATGGTAAAAGAAGAATAAATTGATGTAGTAAAGCCATAGCCCACAGCAAATTTTTTGCTGATGGATCATTTTGAGGAAATTCGAAACCTGGTGGGTAATCATACAGTATTAACCACCAAGATACAGCTTCAAAACAGTCTGCATAAAATTACAGCAAATTATAATCATTAATAATAATAATAGCAAAAATTTTAACCAATAACAATCTAACACCTATGGAACATATCCTCAGCTCCCAGGAGAACCTTATTCCACAAGCAGCTAAAATCAGTGCTTGGTATTGATTGAACCATATCGGGTACATATTTATCCTCCTGGGTTGAAAGACAATATTGAAAAACTAAACTGCAACTGTAACATACAAACGCTCTCTCAAAACCTGAAGAGAATTTGTGCACAATATATTACTAACACCATAATTAATACACCTCTAATTACTAATTAACAAATAAAATATGTTTTTTACCAATTTCTTGTCAAATTTTCCAAGTGATGCTGTAGACTTTTGAGCCATTTGTAGCGCTTGTGTAAGCTGTGATTTGTTAGGTTTATCAACTGTGGGTGTGGCACCTACGCCTGGAACTGAGGAAAAAGAAACAAACACCATGAATTATTACATGCACATTGACCGAAGCTTATTCAGTGAGGATACACCATTACCCACCTATTTTTTAATTTCAATACATACCACAACCAATGCCATGTATTGGAACAAGAAAAAATAGAAGACAACTACAAAATGTACAGTATCAACAGGGTCTCTGGCCCCTTCATTATGTCACTGCTGCTACAGTTAGGACTTCCTACTTATCTATCCTAAGAATTTGATACCACCCTCTTCGAAAAATTCTGGATCTGCCCCCTTATTAGATACTTGAGTCATGTGAGGTCATATCACATTGTAGCAGTTGAGAAGATGTTGTCACTTAAGGACATAACCTTTGACATACTTTTTGAGTTTACTTGACACAGGTGATTTGACACAATTTTGCTTGCTTTGAAGTAATAATTTAAGGTAAAACATTGGAAATAAATACTAACACATCCAACATTATTTTTAATTTATGAGATTTTAAACCATATATATTTATGGTCATGTGATGTGGCATATATTTACAGAGTGTCATCATAGAGCATGATTCAAAGCAATACTACATCAATATATTTTGTTCATCCTAGAAATGGTCTAGTGGTTCAGGAGCTTGCCTTCTAAACACAGGTCATGGGCTCAAATCCCTTAAATTGCCAGGATGTTTGCTATCCTCACAATTCCATTCCCTATGCCTCATAAATCGCACATAACACGTAGGGCATCGTTCCATCCTGTAACTCGGGGCCGGCCCCACTCAATCCCCCTTTTTGGAAAGTAAAAAAAAAAAAGAAAGAAAAAGCAAACCAGAGCCTTGCAGGCGTCAACGTTCCTATGCATGATACATGACTTAAAAAGTATATAGGCCCTATATATATATACGTGTATATATATACACATACATATACACATATATATACACC